GTTGTCAGCTGCAATTTTCTCAGTAAGAGCACCACATCTAGGGCATAAACAAGCTTGTGAGCCCTTGTTCTTGCATCGGTAAAAAAAATATAGCAGATCTTCTTCAGGCTTGGGGTACACTTTAGCCAAGCCTATGTCCGGATTTTCATCAGTTCCTTCGAACATATTTGCATCCACAAATTCAGCGATTTCTACCATATCGATATTGACAAGGTCTACGAACAACGCTTCTTCTTTTTGTTGGAGAGGATCAACATAAATTTTCATTTTTCAGTTAGCAAACTCCAATCTTCCTTCCTGCAATGATTTCTGCACAAGATCCCTGAAAAGAAAACATTGAGAGGTTGTATGACCAAGATAATTATGATATTTGCAAAAACCTCTTTTTTGTCATTTTTCTAATGATGGTAACTTAACACCTGGAGGTACTAAAATCTGACCATCTTTGACCAGCAAATTAAAAATTTCTTCATATTTAGTGACATCAAAAGTATAAGTTTTAGCCGAAAATTTTGGATTATTATCTACAGGATTTTTCCCTTTAGAGGGGAATAATAATTTACATTCATAAGAAAGTTCTGGCTTCATCTCAGCCACATTGACCTCTACCTCAGTCGGTGAAATATAATCAGCTTCATAAATAGGATATGTATCATCAAAGATTACAAAGGCCACTTTTTCTTTTTTATCCCTGGTATGTCTGACTTTTTCTAATCTCAGACGTTCAAGATGTCGAACTCTATCAGCTAACTGCTACATACTTTTTACAAAGGTTGGGTCTATTTTCTTCCTAATGGAATATGCCAAACCCCCAGTTTCCATTTGAACAAGTTCATGTTCAGGCACCTGCGTAAAGCACCCTGCCTTCAACGCGCGAAACCTATTTAAATAATCATCAATACTTTCAGCAAACCTTCTTTTTATGTTTGATAATTCTACCAAACTAATTTTTGAATGTCCCTCATGAAATTATTCATGAAAAAGTTTTTCCAATTTAGTCCATGACTCAATCGAATTTGGGGGTAAGGTAGTAAACCATGTGAATGCTGCCTTCGTAAGGGATGAAGGAAAATTCTTTACCCTTAGGTTGTCATTATTTGTCATATCCTCTAACTCGGTTAGATAACTAGCAATATGTTCCACTTTCGACTCACCTAATTCTCCCCTAAACTTTGTGTATTTAGGGATTTTCCATCCTCTAGGTAATCCAGTCTGCAAAATGTATTCAGACAAAGAGGAAGAATATGTTGGCCTCTGCGGTATGGTACTCATACCATTCCTATACATAATTCTTTCAACAATAGTTATTAGGTTATTTTCTACCGCTAAATCCTCTTGTCGATATTGATCAACAATTTGATCAGCATCTTATTGTCGATTAACCAATATCATCGGATGGCGTTCTACCACTCTTGGTTCGACAACTTAATTTTGATGTACTTGTGGTCTAAGCACTTTCCCCTGGTAGACTGTTTAATCTTCCACTTCCCCCATTTCCACTTGGGCGGGGACAACTGGTCTAACAACACGTGGTACCTGTTGAACAGACACTTGGGGTGCCCCCAGGAAATTACACAAGCGTGTCAATTAAGTGACTACCTGCCTACTTGTTTTAGCAAACTGTCTATTAGTCTCAACCGACTACTGCATTACAGGGTTAATCACAAAACCCATTTTATTGGTTAATAAATTTACCAACTCATGGTTACTATCATCAATTTTCTGCCTCAAAACCACTATCGATGTATTAGTTAAAGGAGACACTGGTGGAGGAGTCCCCACTCTATTTTGGTTATTTCGATTTAAGGAGTTTCTTCTCGGTGCAGACCCTTGCAACGACGAATTCATATTTTGAGCGTTATCAGTCAATAACATTGGGTTTGATGTCGACTATTATCCGGGCATTAAGGAATACGGAATTCCATAAAGAGGATCTGCAGTGCCGAAACGAGGTATATTACTAACGATCGTGACCATCACTGGTCTTGGACTCATCGGTGGAGCCTGGGAAATTTGCATTGGAATTGCGCTTACAGTCGACATTGTTTCAGTTGTGTTTTCCAACAAGGGCAAAGACACGACTTGAGATACCACTGTGTTTATGGTAGTTATTGTTCTTTGTGGAAATACATCCACATTAGGGTTGGTAGGATTAGTGGTGTACGTTTCTTAACTTGTGGTCTATCGTACTTTTTGGTTAGATTCCAACTTCTAAGTTTCATACATTTACTAATACCCAAAAATACAACTTGAAAACCAATACACTAGCACTGGTTCCACCAGGTGTGCCAATTTGTTTACTGTGGAAAATGGTAAACAACCGCTAGTCTTCCTAAAGCCTAAAAACTAAGGGTTACTTGCAGGATCGACTAGTTGATCCTAAGATATGTGCTAATGTATCTAAGTATAACTTGTTCAACCAACGTAAGACTTTGCTTTTTGAGAAACGGTTTTCTATGAAGGATAGAATAAGTATGAGTTTCCATAATGTAATATTTTGATCGACTAAAAGTGACTTGTGACTGACAGTAGGTTACGACTTGTTTAAATGAAATAAATATTGAGTGACTCTTTAGTAAATTCTAGTATAGAGATAGAATGAGTTTCAAAAGCGTAGATGATAATATAAAAGGATTGTTCAAAAGTAAATAAAATCAAAGCGAAATATTCAAAAGAAACAACTGGAAAGAAAGGAATTTGCATTGACATAAAGATGGTGATTCACGTTTATTCACACCTTTGAAACCCTCTGCTTCCTTACGCTTGGAATATAGAGTTTGTTAAGATATTCTAGTACAAAGTGAACACCCTGAATCCTACACTGGACTCTTTTATTTATAGTAGTTACAAATCTAACTGCCTACGTACTAGAACACGTTATACACTTGACACATATTTGGCCTAAGGTAACTGCTTATCTATACTTTCACAACATACTTGGCGCTTGATTTATAAAACTATCTTGCAACTGCTGGTATTTTAAAATTTCAAAATTATCCCGCTCCAGCGCTCACTTCGACGTCAATCTTTAGAGTAGATAGATGATTAAAACTTCTCTAAGTCTTAGATTTCAATTTGGTCGACAAAACCAAACTTCGACTGATGTCAACTTGGTCGACAAGACCAAACTTCGACTAGCTTGTTTGTCAATTGTGTCGACTTTCCACTGCCAACTATTTTTCATTCTTCAGCTTGATTTCCTTACAACCTTTATTTATAGGATACCTTCTCCTTAACTCGTGGGATTACCCTCATTAATTATGCAATATATACCTTAAAGATTTTTTAAGGTAACACTTCGCTAACATTGTTCATTTAAAAAACACAAAACAAACCAAAACTTTTGAGCTGAACTACAGCGCTCTGATTCCTTAAAAGGGATACGTAGGCATCTGGTCACGGGGCTCAGCCGAGCGAATTTTGTAATCTTTCATTCTTTTCCCCGTGTTTTCCCTTTTGCATGCATTCCCTCTTGCATATTTCTTTTTAGCTTTTGAGCTTTAGACATGGATTAGATACACCCTTAGATTAGAACAAACATAAGTGGATCCTGTGGACTACCACAGTCGTGTGAGGTGCTAATAACTTCCCCTCACGTAACCTACTTCCTTACTCAATCTCTATGGCCGCAAGACCCTGATTTCACCCTTCAGGTTTACTCGATGTTCACCCTTCAGGTTTACTCGATGTTCACATTTCCCTTTCGGCGGGATAAAAAACGTTCCATGGTGACTTCATTAAGTTTATTTTCGATGATTTCTTCAGTTGTTTCACAATGCGCTTGTGATCATTCTCTTTTCATACATAAATCCCAAGAGCATTTCACTTTCATTTTGATTTATGTTGATGACCTTTTGATTGCATGAAATAATATAGATCTTATCCATCATACAAAACATATTCTAGATCATTACTTTCACATCAAGGACCTTGGCACCTTGAAGTATATTTTAAGTCTTGAAATAGTTCGCAATAGTTTAGGAATCAACATTAGTCAAAGAAAATATACACTTGACCTTCTTGCTGCCAATGGCTTACTTGGTTGTAAACCTACCAAAAAACCTATGGCTCGTGATACAAAGCAGACACCAACGGATGGAAATCCTTTGCAGGATCTAACTAAGTATAGAAGGCTTGTTGGTCAAGTCATATATTTACTCAACACACACTCAAACATAGCTTAGTCAGTTCAACAATTAAGCCATCACGTGAGTTCTTCCACTAACACTCACTATCATGCTACTTTTCATGTTTTGCGTTATTTAAAGTCTTCTCCCAGCCAATGATTGTTCTTCCCCAACAACTCCATCTTGCAAATCAAAGATTTCTCAGATTCTGACTGGACAACATGTTCAGAGACTCGTAAATCCATCCGTCACAGGTTTCTGCATTTATTTGGGTGATTGTTTGATCTCTTGGAAGTTCAAAAAGAAGCGAATCATCTAAAGAAGTTCCACTGAAGCTGAGTATAAGTCTATAACTTCAACAGTGTGTGAAATTCAATGTATCACTAACTTGCTCAATGATCTCCACATCCCATTCCAAAATCCAACCATTTTATATTGTGACAATGCCTCTGCACGCGACAATCTATTCGTTTTCTTTTAGGCTTAGTGATCGTTATTGGGCCTCTTAGGAACCATGTCACATTGCATTGTATATATATATATATATATATATATATATATATATATATATATATATATATATATATATATATATATATATATATATATATTACCAATCAAGTTCTTACAGTTATCCCAATGTTTTATCAAGATCAATGACATATTTTATATGATAATTACGTGTTTATCATTTGTTGTACTTGTTGATAACATAACAAAGGCAACACAACCACTCATATTGTGGAGTACTGCTCTGTAATAATAATCTCAATAATTGAACCTTCCAATAGTTTATAGATGAGATCAACTTGGAGTTCTTTAAAGTCCTTAACCTTGTTACTTCACCCAAACCAAAACCATTCATTTGTAAACATGTCTTCTGCAACAATACTTTCTTTCCTTCTCTTCACTTTTACATTCCTTTTATTCAAACTTTTCTTGCATCCAAAACAAAATACCTTAAATCATAAGAAGCCACCAGGTCCACCAACACTACCTATAATCGGGAACCTTCACATGTTAGGCAAGCTTCCACATCGAGCACTTGAAACACTCTCTAAAAAATATGGCCCAATCATGTCTTTACAACTAGGTCAAGTCCCAGCTATTATTATTTCATCTTCAAAAGCAGCTGAGTTATTTCTCAAAACACACGACTTAGTTTTCGCAAGCAGGCCAAAAATTCAAGCATCTAAGATTTTCTCTTACGGTTCTGTAGGGTTTGCTTTTTCTGAGTATGGTCCTTATTGGCGTAGTGTAAGAAAACTTTGCACTTTGAAACTTCTTAGTGCTTCTAAAGTTGAGATGTTTGCTCCTATTAGAAAAGATGAGTTGGATGTTTTGGTAAAATCTTTAAAGAAAGCTGCTTTGGAGGGTGAGGCTGTGAATGTTAGTGATGTTGTAGAGACTTTGATTGAAGATATAGTGTATAAGATGATATTGGGTAGGAGTAAATATCAACAGTTTGACTTGAAGAGGATTGTTAGACAAGCAATGATTTTATTTGGAGCTTTCAATCTTGCTGATTATGTTACTTGGATGGGCCATTTTGATATTCAGGTATATTCAAACTCGTCTATCCTTGCTTACATGGTTTGTTAAGTTTTGTTGAAATATTCAATTGCAAATTGACATTATTAATTTAACTTTTTGCTTATAATTTACTAACGTTTCTCATCAAAATTAAAAGGGAATTACACGAGCTTGCAAGAAAACAAGTAAAGAACTAGATGAAGTGTTGGAGGTGATAGTAACCGACCATGAACAAGCTATTAATGTAGACACCCCTCATCATGAAGAAGATTTTGTAGACACGCTTCTTTCAACTATGCATCAAACTGTGGATTTAGAAAATGAACAAAATAATGTTATCAATCGTACTAACATCAAGGCAGCATTACTAGACTTGATATTAGCTGGAATTGATACATCGGCTTCCGTAGTTGAGTGGGCGTTATCTGAACTTTTAAGGAATTCAAGAGTGATGAAAAATCTTCAAGATGAAATACAAAATGAAATAGGGTGTATGAGAATGGTTGAAGAGAAAGATTTGAAGAAGTTAAGTTACTTAGATATGGTGGTCGATGAGATATTAAGACTTTATCCCGTTGGACCTTTACTACTCCCTCGTGAATGTAGAGAGAATATAATAATTGATGGTTATTTTATTGAGAAAAAATCGCGTGTTATTGTAAATGCATGGGCAATAGGGAGAGATCCTGATGTTTGGTCACAAAACGCAGAAGAATTCTACCCTGAAAGATTTATTGACAAGAAAATGAATTTTCATGGACAAGAGTTTGAGTGTATACCATTCGGTTCTGGTCGGAGACGTTGTCCAGGAATTCATTTTGGTTTGATTACGGTAAAATTGGTTATAGCTCAATTGGTGCATTGTTTTAATTGGGAACTTCCACATGATATTACACCTTCAAATTTGAACATGGAAGAGAAATTTGGACTCACTATACCTAGAGCTCACCACCTGTACGCAATACCCCATTATCGTTTAGTAATTAATTAGTAAGATACATATGCGTACACACATTGCCGCACTTTTTTTAGTAACATGTCGATATTAGTTCAATAAAGATATATCCAGTTAAATTTTGAGAGCGGTATTGTCGCTCTCAAACTTTTAGAAAAAATGATATTAGTTAAGTGGTGAAGTAATCTTTATGTAATTCATCTAATTATCAATAAACAATACTCTATTTTAATGAAAATTTGTTCTTGCAAGATGAAATTAAAATTTACTAATCAATGTTTTTACAAAACATGAGAAGAGACAAATAACATGATAACAAAGTCTTTATGGATGAATCTTATATACATGGCACTTATTGTTTGTTGAACTAACATCAATTTTAACTTGAATTATGTTTCCTGCTCTGAGCGTGTTAGATTTACAAAATTTGTCTCATTCATATGCCAATTTTGTTTTGCAAGGGTCTGCGATATTTAATATAGTGAGCAAGTTTTTCTTTCCGTTATCACTACAGAGAAGAAGATACTGATAGTCATAATTTCTTAATATTGAAGCAAAGTCTTCATGCAATTTCTAAAAAATATAAAGTCGGAAAAAATTTAAAAATAATATATCAGATAAAAACGTATTGAAAAAAAGTAGAAGAACTAATTTCAGAAAATTGTTATTAACATAGGTGAGTGTAATATCAAATGCATTAAAGAAATAAGTAATTAATATAAATAGAATTAGGTTTTCTAAGATAAGGTAAGGTTTTCAAGATGAGCAGTCAAGATAGAGATAAAGCTCCAATTTACTACATATTGTCTATCAACAAATTAGTATTATTCTCTAAAAAACATGTTTTCTGTTTATCAATACATAGATATAGATTAATATAAATGTCGTATAGTGTATTTGGATATTGGATTGTTTTATCACGTGTTGTATTAAGTGTTATTTGCATGTGTTTTGACCTCTTACGTTTATGTTGTATATACTTTGAATCTATTGTGTATTGGTTTATTATAGTTCGTCATAAGAATCAGATGACCAGAAAAAAGAGATTCAACGCCCTTTGGCATCGATCATAGCGGAGGTTAAGCCTCAAAATAATGTCACTCAATATATGGACACATAATCTGACGATAGCGATGATGAGAGTGAAGAATCTTTAGAGGATACTAAAGATGACAATTTTGAATCTAATGATAGTGATGACGATGTGCCTATGTATTAGGAGAAAACTACTACATCAGCATCAAAAGAAAAAAAAATTCTCGTAGTACATACATCATAAATTTTTTATTTTAACATATTTAGCATGTTCTAACATTATTTGTTATATTTGTATTCCTAGACCTTTTTCAAAAAGAATATTGCATAAGGATCAAGATTCAATCTAACTAATTAACTTTCAAAATGGAAAAACAGATGCGTGTGATGTATACACAACCAACAGAGACATAGATGAAAAGTACATTGCAAATGGTTGGTATGAATGTGTTAAGGAAAAGAAACTCCAAAGAGGTTATTTGATGGGATTTACGATGCCTTTTGGTCTTAAGAGGTTGTATGTAAAATTTGTTCATATATAGAATCTCAACAAAAAGGAATTTCTTTCCTCGTGAGTCTCTTCAATGGCAAAGCTAACTTGACATATCTCATAATGAATCTTCGGTAGTAACCCATTAAACCCAATAAATTCTAAACTTCTGTTACGTTCTTTGGTCTCTCCCAATTCACTAAAACTTCCACTTTTGATGGGTCTATAACTACACCTCCACCAGATATAACATGTCCAAGGAATTTAACTTCAGACATCCAAAACTCGCACTTACAAAGCTTCATAGACAACTTCTTCTCTCGAAGGATAGATAGCATGATCCTTAAGTGTTCCTCATGTTCTTCAAGAGTACGGGAGTAGATTAAGATATCGTCTATGAAGATCACTACAAACTTGTCCAAATATGGTTGAAATACTCGGCTCATGTAATCCATAAATACGGTAGGGAAATTGGTTACTTCGAACAGCATAACCAAAAATGCATAATGACCATACTGTGTCCTGAAAGCAGTCTTTGGCACGTTCGAGCTCTTGATCCGAATTTGATAATATCTTGACCTGAGATCAATTTTCGAGAACACATAGGCTCCAACCAACTGATATAGGTGGTCATCTATTCGCGGTAGAGGGTACTTGTCCTTTATGGTCACCTTGTTAAACTGGCGATAGTTGATGCACGAACGCATACTACCGTCCTTCTTCTTAACCAACAACACATGGGCTCCCTGTTGGTGTAAGCCCTAGAGGCCAATACTTTTGGTACTTGTATCGAATTATTTATTTAATAATAAAAGGCATTTCTTTATTATGTTTGCTTTCCAAAATAATAAAGTCCCTAGAATGGTTTATTTGTTTAATGAAATGTTAAGTGTGACTTAATCATGAGATCCCATTAAACATAAGACACTATTCTTAAAGTATCCGTAGTCAAGCTTTAATGTGAAGTGGGATAACATTAAAGCATTAAGATTATTATGAAGATAGATTGATGATCACATCTCATGGATCATAGATAAGGAGTTATCAAGTCTTGACATAGGTATGAATATTAGGAGTAATATTTATACTGGATTGACCCGCTATGAGAATACTACATAGAATGTTATGCAAAGTGTCATAAGTTATTCTCATGATGATAATGGTGTATACCACCCTTCGACCTGAAACCACTATGGACCCTAGATGTAGAGTCAAGTACTTTATTGCTGATCAAACGTCATCCGTAACTGGATGACTATAAAGACGATTGATGGGTACTTCACAAAGCATACTAAGGGACATGAGTGACCTAGATGGAATTTGCTCATCCTGCATAACAGGATAAATGTCTAAGGGCCCAATATTGAACTGGACAAGGGTGACACAGTGTATGCCTTGTGTTCAATATAGACATGAGGGCAAAAGGGTAATTATACAACACAAATATTATCACGGAAAAGGTTTGGTCAGATCACATGACATTTTCGTGACTTGGGTAACAGTGATGTGTTGCTAGATACCGCTCACTGTTTATTATATTAAATGTGTGATTTAATATAATTGCCAACGTCGCGAAAACCTACAGGGTCACACACATAAGGACAGGTTGATGAGAGATAGAATAAATAAGGAACACCGTAAGGTACGGTGCACTTAAGTGTAATACGGAAAGTGGTAAGGTACCACGTGGATAAGTGATATATGGTACATCATAAGGTATGATGTCCATAAACTTAATTGGGCTTTTAGCTTATAGCCTTAATTGGGCTTTTAGCTTGTAGCCCACACGAGTGATTTTATAAATAGATCCCATGTGATGAAGCAATTTCACTTGATGCAATTTCGTTTTTGATTCTCTCTCTCACTCAAGGTTTCCGTTTGTGATCAGCTAGCACTGTGACCGGAAGCGATCTGTTCGTGTGGACTGAGTAGGGCGTTGTTCTTCATCAACGCTCGTGATCACAACATCAAAGGTCTGAATCGCCACAAGAGGTAAATATTTCTATCACTGACCATGCTCATTCGTAAGGATCGCTAAAGGAAAATTTTAAATTCCGCTGCACTTTTGATCGCAATTTTCCTTCAAGTGGTATCAGAGCCACTTATGAAACCATGGATCTGATAGTTGTTTATGTTCTATATTTTCGGTTTTGATTCGATTAAAACCAGAATGAATTGAATAATAAACGAGTAATTAAATTTGGCATCTGTTGTGTATGATTTGGATGATTGATGTTGACTATGCTTCAGAATCCGACATTAGTATGGTGAAGTAGCGATACATCGATCGTCCATAGGTTACACAAATAAGATCGATCACTTTTATATATGATATAAGTAAATATGATGCAACGATGGTATATGGGATATACTGTTTCTGTTTCGTTCATTCAAACACTTGATGATTGTTATTCCTTTGACCGATCACTGTTCATATGCTTCGGAATCCGACATTAGTATGGTGAAGCAATGGCATGTGATTAATCATACTGAATTACCAATCGAAATGTGTTTGACAGCATGAAACTGTTGCATTAGGGTTCATGACGGCACAAGGGTTGTGTTGTTGTAGAGTGATGCGATTAGGGTTGTGAATGCACAAGAGTTGTGCGAAAATGACGCCGATTTAAAATGAATTGTTCATTAAAATTTTGCGTCGGGGCGCTGCCCCTAACAACCCTGCAAAGGGGAGCTTCCCCCTTGACCCCCGTCCGCTGAACGGTTAGCGGAACCACCGTCCGTTGACCGGGCAGCGGAGCCCCCGGCTAACTCTGCGTAGTGTGATTAATCGTCGAAATTTAATTTTCCTTTTTTTTAATTAATAAAATTTAAACTAATAATAAAAGTGTGTTTATTATTATTGTCTTGTGGTGATCAGTTATGACCTTAGTTTTTTCCTTTATTTTGTTTTGGGATTGTAAAATACGGCCTGCGTGTCGTGCCTCTCTATAAAATTCTTGATGTAACTTCTTTTCTCATCTCACTCCCTCATATGTAAAATGAGTTTCTTTTATGTAATGTAATGTTATGAAGAAAGAGAAGAATACAATATCAAGGAGGATAACCTTGGAGATCTTGCTTGGAGAAGTTTAGATCGTTATTAGGTTAGCTTAGGTTCTCTCATTGGCTTGGGAGAATAATTGCGCTAGGGGCCATAACTGTATCCTTTTATGTATATTGATGCACATGTTTGTATGTTGATGCATGAGAGAGACGAATTGCATGTTAAGCTGGTGAGATCAAACTAATAACAAAATCCCTCAAGTTAAATATTAAGTTCATGCTTTCCAAGTTTTAGTACTCATCAAGACTAGTATCGAACAATGTAGGTTTCGCCTACGCGAGGTGCATGTTCTATATTAGTAAGGTGCGATGGGATAATTGTAATATCCAACTGCTAAAATAATGGGTCAAACTTAACTAAACACATTATAATAAGATTATACATGTTTAGAAGCAAGAGTTGGGAATGATTCATATGATGAATTAGAATAAGGAGTTATTCACCCAA